AGTCCTCATATTCCTGATTACAGCTGGATTACAGCTGGGCACTACCACGTCCAGTTTATGGGGAAGCTGGGGATGGCTCCCACTGCCTCACCCTTGTAGGCAGCCCCCTCCACCCACTGAGCAAACTCCTTAAGAGGAGTCCTCTTGACATCCCACCTTAAGAGGAGTCCTCTTGACATCCCGCCTGATTGCCTGGGTTCCCACTGCTTGGTAATCTGCCTTCAGCGTGGATGGTGTGGTGACTGGCACTGAAATAGCCCTGCCCCCACCCAGGCTTGTATATTTGAAAGCTTGGTCACCAGGAAGTGGCAATCCTTTGAAAGGATTAGGGGGTGTGGCTTCGATGGAGGAGGTGTGTCCCTGGGAATGGGCTTTTAGGTTTCAAAAAACTCAAGCCGGGCTCGGTGGCTCTCTCTTCCCGATGCTGAGGGTCCAGATGTAAAGCCCTCTGCTCCTCCAGCACCATATCTGCCTGCAGCTGCCATGATCCCTGCCATGATGACAATGGGCTAAACCTCTGAACTGTAAGCCTCAGTTATAAGAGTTGCTATGGTCATGGTGTCTCTTCACAGCCATAAAACACCGATCAAGACTAAGGCTCCTATTTTCTGGAGCCCAGGCAAGTGACCTCACCCTTCTGTTTCCCTCTCTGTCAAAAGGAAAGCAGCAGTATCACCTCTTCGAGCTCCTGAGTGCCCTCAAGGGAGCACGTGAATAGCTGAGCTTCGTGTGTCAACCGCCCAAAGACGGGTGACGCTGTGGCTGGGAACACAGAGCGACGGCTTCCCAATCGCAGCCTCCTCTGTCCTTGCTCCGTTACTGTCTCGGCTTGACACTGTTTCCCCAAACATATGGTGAAGTCCTAAGCCCTAGCCCCCAAGAGCGTGACCTTATGGATATAGTTAGACTGAGGCGAGAGCATGTTGCATCAGGCCAGGTCTTAGTCTAATGATCCATGTCCTCAAAAGAACAAAGCGCGGGGACTGGGGATAAGGTTCCGTTATTAGCTCTTCACCTTCATTTATTTATGTTTTATTTTCTTTTGCTGGAGAAGAAGCTGAATGGCGTGACCCCCCCCCCCCCCCCCCGCGTGTCAAATGTAGCCACTGGCTCAACTGGGGTTTATCGTCTGGTTTTCAGGACTCCGAGTTCAGTGCTCTGTTTGGAGGGGCTGAGTGGTAAGGGTTGAGGACGGGGATGAGGGGATGGGAATAGAGAGCGCGTGGATGTTTCCTCTCTCTCCTCCAGAACCCTACATCCTCGCCCAGGTGCCACAACCCACGTGGCTGCAGGAGAGTTCAGCGCCAGGTACTCCAGCCTGGGCTGTGTGAGTGAGGCTTCTGTCAGACGACCTATGTCAAACGTAGGGGTGTTCCCTTGGAGTCTGGGTGGAATTAGTGTTGCTAGCTGCGGGCAAGGCAGGCCAGATAGGACCTCCTAACTGCAGCCTCTGTCCCTCACATGGACGCTCTATTAACCCTCAGGGCCTCTGTTCCCTGCTCTATAAAACAAGGACAACCGTCTCTGCCTGTAAGAGCCCTTGTAGGGTCATGTGATCAGCCTTGGTGTGTGCACTGAGCTGGGACCAGCAGAGTCGGGATGCCATGACCTGTGGCTGAGGTGCCGCCCTGGCCTCTCTGGAGGACGGCTGCAGCTTTGGTGGGGGGATGAGGAGCCCAAGCCTCATTATGTTTAATTGCTTGTAACACAAGCTTCTTAACATGCTCACCCCCATGACCTGTGCCCCCCAGGAAGCAGCTTCACCATCCTCCCGTGACCGTGTGTAACATATTCTCAGAGTCCAGCACGGAACTCTCAAATTGGCTCACGATTTGCTGGCAGCTTGGAAAAACAGAACAAAACAAAACAAAACAAAACAAAACAAAACAAAACAAAACAAAGCACCAAAAACATTTTATGGCTGTGTGTGCGCAGCACACGCCCTGAGTGTTGCTCACGGGCCTCCCGAATGTCTTTCCTACCTTGTAGCGGGATGTGATAGGCGTGAACTTACGGCCACTCCCTCGGTTTCCTCTCCACCTGAGAGCCTCTGTGAGTAGCTGTGGCGGGCTGACAGTGCTCAGTGGCTTTGATGGAGGTGGCCTGGGCCCTGTCCACAGCCGGCTATCCTGGGAGGCTCGCTGCACACCCAAATCTCTCCTGTCTCACTGTTAGCTGTCACCCACTCGTGGCCCAAAGGGGACCCAGGCATTGAATGACCTCTACTCGCTTGGAAGGTCTCTGTGAGCCTGAGAAAGGATCTGGGTGGGGTCATAGGACAAGTCTAGATCATGAGGGCCTGTGATTTTGGAAGCTGGCTTTGACTCAGATGTATTTGAAGAAGGTCGTGGAGTTAGGAGGAAACACAATTAAAAAAAAAAAAAGCCTGTCACGGCTGGGGGATGGCTCAGTGGTTAAAGAGCATGCTATGGTACAAGAGTGACAACTAGAGTTCAAATCCCCCAAACCCGTGAAAATGCTGGGTGGGTGTGGTGGCCGACTTGGAATTCCCCAGAACAGGCAAGATGGACAGACAAGTCGTATCAGCAAGCTCTGGGTTCGATTGAGAGACCCTGCCTCCGTGAATAAAGCGGAAGAGCTATTGAGGATGAGTCTTGATATCAACATTAGCTTCCACATGCAAGTGCACCCATGTCCATGCACTCTTCACACATGTAAACATGTATGTACACACGCACTACACACACACACACACGGAGAGGAAGACTAAAACCTCTTTGAGCTGGATTGACAGCTCAGCAATTAAGAGAACCTGCCATGTGAACATGAGGACTGGGGTTCAAATCCCAGCACCCCAGTCAAAACTGGATACATGACAGGCTTAAAGGTTAAGAGCACCGGCTGCTCTTCCAGAGGACCCTGGTTCAATTCCCAGCACCCACATGGCAGCTCACAACTGTTTATAATTCTAGGTACAGAGGATCTGGCACTAGGTAAAACATCAATGCACATAAATTTTTTTAATTGTAAAAAAAAAAAAAAGCTGGATATACCCTTGAGTGTGTGCGGCATGGAGGGCAGAGGGAGACTGCTGGAGCTTGCTGACTGCCAGTCTGGCCGAAAAACTCAAGCTTCCAGTTCATGAAGAGACCCTGCCACTGGCCAAGAGTGACAGAGGATGCCTGACACCTCCCTCTGGCCATTGCACACACACTTAGGAGAGGACACACAACACACACATGCACCAATCCATCCTCACACCCTCCCCAACTTTGATTGACAGTTGCTGAGTCACTGGGTGCAGACCACTCAGAAAGGGAGTGATGCTGTCCTAGCGACATTGTGGGTGGGTGGCGTGGCGTGTCACCGAGGGAAAACTTCCACAGCTGGGACAGCCAGTGTGGGTGGCTACAGGTGGAAGCAGGACGATGAGAAACTTAAAGTCACTGAGCTACACGAGATCGTGCCTCAAAATCAAAACCAAACATAAGTAGGGTTCTAGGAGAGTCCTTCCTTCCGTGATAGCTGTAAGGATGACGAAGCTCTGAGCAAGCACCTAGGTAAGAGCCCGGTGGCTGCAGAGGGAGTCCCTCCCACCTAGTTAACTCTCCCTTCCTTTGCAGGTCCTCTTCACCCATCACCCTGCTCTACTTTCCCCCCAGCATCGTCACAGTCACCTGCCACTTTACTGCTTCACCCATGCGTGTGTCTCATGCCTGACTCACACACTGCATGCCAAACTCGCCAAGGACAGGAACTTCATTCTGTTCAAAGTTCGTCCCTGTTTCTGAACCCAGAGAGGGTGCCCTGGGTGCTCCATCAACACTTGACGACTAACGGGGCCTGGATCTCTCACTGGACTGGGAGACCCTGGAGGGTGCAGGCTGAGCTGCATTTCTTCCCTGGGGTGGCCAGCGCCGGGCTGAGCACTGTGCACACACCGTCAGAGGAGCTGGCCAGTCTGCCCAGCAATGCCACCTCCTCCCCAAGCTGCTGTGGTGGGATCGATGTTGCTCTCGAGGTCTGGCCTTTGGAGGCTTTCAATTTCCCTAGATTGAGGACTTTCTGCAGGGCCTTTGTGCTCTCATTGATTGCCAGAGCATAGCAGGCTTTGTTGCCCTGACAAATATTATTTGATAAGAAAAACAGAGACACGGAGGCCCAGCATTCCAGTAGAGCAATGGCAGCAGAGCGTCAGTTCATCTGGCAACAGCGTACTGCTGGCGGAAAACTCCCAAGACCACTCAGAGCAAGGCCTTTGCATCTCCAGTGAGGAAACTGAGGCTGGGTGAGGGTTTATTCAGCCGATGGCACATCAACTAGACACATACTACTATTGGCATTCCTGTCACAGATGCATAAATGGAAGTGCGGAACCAGGGTGAGAACCCAGCCCCCCCCCCCCACTCGGTCTAGAATGTTTTCTAATTTGCCGGGTTTTCAACACCCCAGGAAAGCCCTGGGAGGACCAGGGAGGGAATCTCTGAGGCGTGTCACAGCTGAGGTGCTGGGTCCCCTCCCTGGACGCTCCTGGGCAGTCATCCCCTGAAGAGGACTCTCACGGCACCTGCTCCTTGGGGCTTCTACTGATAGGGACTTGGCCTCAGGTGGAAAACGCAGCTGCCGTAGCCCCAGGCTCGGTGTCTCCCTCCACCAGCCCTACCATGCCACAGGACCTAGAGCTAGGTGGCTCAGGAGACTGACATCCCTTGCCAACCTTCTATAAATGTGGCTCTGGGGCCAAGTTAGCTGGCTGTCCCAGAACCAGTCATTTTTCTCTCAGTGACGCTTAGTCCAATCAACAAACAGCGCTTCTCATAGCTAGCACATGAAGATCAGGAACGAGGCAGACTCTAGGTCCTTACAGCACGGGACTGGGAAGAGAATGGGTTCATAATAAGAGGCCACTGGGGCCAGGTTCCACACTCACAGCTTGCCCCAGTCTGGCCTTTTCCTCCTCCCAGGCAAGGGCAGTAGATGGAAAAGGGTCCTACACATATACCACATAGGCTCGAGGTGTTCTCAGGACACTGACTCACCCATGACATTGAGGAAGATGTTGCCTGAGGCGAGGACTACCTTCTCCCTCGTGGCTCGGTCGTAGATGCCCACGTGGCACTCATAGGGACCATTGTCTGAGATCCGGACCTCGGGCAGCCTGCGGGGAAGCAGATGAAATGGTAAGGATTGGGGGGCTGAGTTAGCAGTGTTCCAGGAGGCCAACCCCAGGACAAACTTGTCTGGGCTCCACTCCTCCACTCTGCAAAGACGCTGCACACCTGTGGTCTAGACTGGGAGGAAGGGTGGCATTTGTTCAGTACCCACTGCATACAGGCTCTGCGCCTGGTGCTGCAGAGGGGCGTGGTGAGTATGTGTTCACTCTGAGCCAAACCTGTGCCCCGCAGCAGCTGCCATGCTGGTCACGGGCCTCTCTCAGGATGCCCTATGGGAGATGCAGGTGCAGATGGGCTGGCCTTAGCTGCCACCAGCAGGAGGCCTGGCTCCACTCATTCCTCACAACCACGGTTGTCTTAGCTACTGCTCTATTGCTGTGAAGAGACACCATGAGTAAGTAAAGCAACGTAGAGAAGAGAACATTTAATCAGGGGCTTGCTTACAGTTTCATGGGGTTAATCCATGGCCATCAGGGCACTGGAGCGGCAGCTGAGGGCTACTTACACCCTGATTGGAAGGCAGGAGAGAGAGACTGGGTCTGGCACGGGTGTTTGGAAGCCCAAAGCCCAACCCTAGTGACGCACCTCCTCTAACAAGGCCACACCTCCTAATCTTCCCCAAATAGTTCCACTAACTGGGGATGGAGCATTTAAATCTAGAAGCTTATGGGGCCATTCCTATGCAACCTACCACAGCCACAATGCAGGGATCGATCATTGCATCCCATGGACTGGGAAGCTGAGGCACAAGAGAGTCATAAACTGCCCCACCCTATACAGCTATAACACCATGAGACCTTGGAGTCCTGCCTTCATGCTGCCAAGGAGCCACTTTACCCCCAGTCCCAAGGACACCAAAAGAAACCCAGTTACATTCCTGTCCCCAAGGAATCCCATGCTGGTGAACAGGGACACAGGAAAACTGACCAATGCTCCACCCAATATGTGTGCTCAGCGGATGCTGAACTGAGGGGCAGCGGCTCTGCCTCCTAGGTGCCCAGACTCGGGTTATGGGAGTCTCCCTCTTGCCTTTTCAGTGGAAAGGCTCAAGAGCAAATATCTCAAGAGTTGTTCCCCTTTGATGTCTCAGGGCTGGAGAGGCGGCTCTGAACTTTGCAGAGCACCCGAGTTTGGTTCTCAGTATCCACTACAGCTCCAGGGGGATCTGACACCTCTGCCCCTGTGCACACCTGCCCCAGACACATAAGCAAATTAAAAACAAACAAACAACCTTGGGGGTTGGGAGAGATGGATCAGTGATTCGGAGCACTTGTTGCTCTGGCAGAGGACTGAGGTCCTGTTCCCAGCACCGTCTGTAACTTCAGTTCCAGGGCCTCTGGCGCCCTCTTCTGGCCTCCATGGGTGCAGCACACATTGGGGTACATACAAAATGCAGGCAAAACACTCATACACGTACAATTTAAAAACTAATCTAAAAAAGTCTTAAAGATGGTCTCATTTTAAGTTTGTTTCCTCAGAATACACAGACAGCTGAAGAGAGTCTATCAACCGTTCAGTGTGCTGGAGTTTCAATAAAACTTTATTTGTGGCTGTCAAGCTTTGCGCTGCTCAGAGCGTTCATGTCACAGAATATATTAAGCTTTTCTTTTCTCTCCTCCAACCATTTAAAATCGTTGAAACATTCTCCGTTCATACGCTGTGGGTAAACAGACCATAGCGTGATAGCTTTCTATAGGGCCTACAGGGTCAGATCATGCTAGAATGAGTTCGTATGCTATTCTTTCTCCTGGAGGGTACAGTCAGAATTGTGGCAGCTCCTTGCTGACATGTAGGCTGTAAAGAGTTCTGAGATTCAAGTTTGAATTATGTTTCCCCGTCTGTGGAACCCATGGGGCTTTGGAGGAAGTCATACCTTTGAGCACCCACTTTCTTATTAAAAAAAAAAATCCCAGGGCTGCAGTGAAGATGGACTTCAATACACATTTGAGGGTGCAACACAGACCTGCCCAGAGGCCATGGGAGGCCCTCATCCTTTGATGCCCCAAGAGGAGAGAATGTCTGCCAGGTGGTGCCCAGGTACTTTGAGCAGCAGAAGCCTGACCCTGGTACTAAGGTGGGAAAATTCAAATGTCATCAAATCCCAGCCTATGCTGGCTTGTTTCTGAGGGCCCAGTGTCGGCATTGACCCCAAAGCTGGCAGAAAACCAGGGCAGACTCCCACATTTGTTCATGGTCCTTCCCCACCTAACCAGCCCAGCAGTCTTTCCCAAGCCCATGGGGACTCTTCCTGGGCTGCCCCTGAGCTGGGAGGCCTCTCGCTCCTCATCCCTTCTCCCCGCTCTGCCTGCTCCAGGCCTCTCTTTCATTTGTTTGCGATGAGCAGTTTAACCTCAGGTTCCAGCCTGTCTCAGCTTCTTTTGCTTATGAGTCACTTCTTTGCATCCCCCAGCGCCCCCCCCCCCCGCCCGGTACCCCTCCTGCCACTCCCCCAACCTGGGCTCTCAACCTCTTCCTAAGCAGTTGTCACTTTGAGCTGAGCCAGCCCCTCCCTTGCCCAGCACCCAGCGCTCATTAGCATAAACAACACCCTCATTTCCATAGACTACACAGAGGTTGCCATCTGGTCTCCTCACTGTCAGGAAGGACTGAAGTGTGGGGAGTACCTTTTCATCGGGGGAGGATGCCACCACCGCCCCCTCCACTTCTCCTCCCAGAAGAAAACGCCTTGACAGTGGGAACAGCAGGGAACCTGCCTCCTGGGAATGATTTCCTTTGTAACATAGCTAGATTGAGAACAGCAATGTACTTGCTGCGCAGGGTGGCTGAGTGACAGCCACCGTAAGTGACATGTTTTGGCTATCCTCACAGGTGTCTATTATGCAGTCGACCTGCTTAAGTGACTTTCCAGGGAGACAGGTGCAGGGGGGCGTGTAGAGAACTGGGCTCAGGGGAGGGGTGTAGCCAGAGGCTCTCCGGTGATGTCAACAGAAAGTAGGGGCCTGGCTGACGCATGGGCGGAGGCATGCAGGTGACTACCCTGTGGGCCAGCTCTGCAGATGTGTTCCTGCGATCCCGGCACTGGGGACATGTTTGGGAATCGCTTTGCTGATGACATGCTCAAGGAACAGTAACATAAGCAGTGTGCTGTGCAGGTGATGTCTCACAGGTGGTGTGGAAGACAGCCCGGTGGACCCGGGGCTTGGCGCTTTTAAGAAGAGACAGCTTCCCATCTGGGTCTGTTCCTACAGCTCCGCTTGGCGCTCCTCGCTGGGCTCCTGGTCTCATGCTTCCCCTGGCTCAGCCATTAACCCACATCATTCAATCCGTGCGAGCTTGACAGCGCTTGTTCCACAGCCCCGGGCAGTGAATGGCCAGGCCCTGGGTGTCCACCTCTTCACGGGTCCTGAGCTACACTTCCGCCTCTTCACTGTATTCCCACAGCCCCCCCCCCATTCTCACCTGAAGTCAGGCTAGGGATTTAAGTGGGGTTTCTGTACCTTTTAATCCTTCCATTCTGAATCCAAACCAGGTACTCCCCAGCTTAAACCTCTTTGAAAACTTCCTTAGCTTTTGGGAAGGAAAAAAAGAAAAAGACCAGGATCTGCCCACAGGGCCTCCTCAGCCTCCTCATCTCCCCCCTCCCCTTCCTGCAGTCACAGCCCCTCTGTTCTCGCCCTTTCTTCCTACAGACACCTTGTTTCTGCTTTATAAGATAACATTTTTACTTTGGATAATCTTAAATCATGGGAAAATAGCCAAGATAAGAGCGTCTCTGTGCACCCCACTATGCCTTTCTCCTATCTCAGGAGCCATCTGAGTCTGGACGCAGCCTCATCCCAGGCACGGCCTGGCTCTCATCTCCGATCCAAAGCTGCCAGGTCACAGCTTTGATCCAGACCTAACCGCCTCCTCTCCTTCATCAAACCCTGAGATCTTGCTTCCACCGTTGTCCTCGGAAAGTGGATTAAGTGGCCCAGAGCCCACCCTGCCCCCAGCACTGAGTGGCATTGATCCGAAGGCTGGATAGAAAGCCCTCACAGGCAACAGGGGCTGGCGAGGTGGGGAAGGAGGCCCGCTCTCATCAGCAATGGCCTGAGATCAGATCGATAAACTATTAATAACTGCAGCGTTTGTGCGCAGATAGGGGCAATGCAGTTTAGCGGCTGAGTTTACCAACACTGACGGCGTCTCTGAAGGGCGAGTAATTGTGCTTTTGAAAAGCTGGGAACAGGAGGAGCAGGAATGTTGCCCTTGCCTGCATCCAGATAAGCATAAAGGCTGCTGCTGCATCTTCCGCAGGGTGCCGGGCTGGAGAGCTACATCTGCACACAGACTTAGACCTACTGTGTGACTCACATCTAGACCCACTGTATGAACCACGTCTAGACCTGCTGTATGTCCTGGCATCTCAGCCTACTGTGTGCTCTGATATTTGCACCACCTGTGCACCTAGACATCCAGGCCTACTGTGTGTCCTGGACTCTGGACCCACTGTGTGCCCTGGTCTATGCTTAGAGAACACTCTGGACCATATCTGGACCAACTGCACGTGCCAGCATTTAGACATACCGGGTATCCTGCAAATCTGAGTCTTGTGGTGGAGATATCCAGATGCTCTGTCTGTGCTTGGAGTGTCTCCCTCTTTCGTGTCCCTGTGGAAAGCCTCTAACCACCCCCTCCCCCGACCCCAGCAGTGCAGTGGAGTGGTTAAAAGCACACAGGTTAAAAGCACCCAGGCTGTTGGCTCAATATGTGAATCCCAGCTCAGACCCAGTCCTGATTGTACCACTTGGAAAATCATCTGACTTCTCTCAGACTCAGTTTCCCCATCTGTCACCCCACCCATAAAACTATTGGGAATATGACCAGGGTTCACCCGAGGGCACCGACTGGAGTGGTGCCTCGTGAGTGTCCAGTGACAGAGATCCTGGAGGGGCATTGAGCTCTTGAGTTGCCTCTGCCAGGTAGGCTGCCCTGACTGATCATCCTCTGTGGATAGACCCAGCTCTTTCCCCTCTGTACA